GTTACAAGGAATTTTATTGGTCTCTCACTCAACTGTTCCCCCCCCCCTAAAAATCAAAGGGGTTGCACTCAGTGGAGTTAAGTGGCTAGATGTAAGTGATGATGTGGTCGCAGCAATTGTCTGACAGCCATGACTGGGTTCTCTTACTTGTGTGGCATGGTGAAGGGTCGTCTTGCCAGATAAACTGTCTTCCAGTAGCCACCCGCGTTAAGTCTGGGGACCTCAACAACAAATTTGAGTGTTCTTTTCTTATCAGAACGATCAGATTGAGTTTTCTGAGTTGCCATACATTCGTAATCACCATTAGATGCATTCAACTCTTTCCGAATCCTCTGCACTGTCCTCAGACTGATACTCAAACATTTTTAAATATTCGTATTGGTGTTTACGGCGCGTATGCCAAGCAGTACATCATACCATTTCCAATTTTGGATTGAATTTTGTCATGGTGCTTCTTTTCTCATAGACGGTATCCACCTGACCCTACTATTCTGTGCAATCAACAAAATCAAAAATGAACAAAGCGCATGCGCGAAACTAAAAAAATATTAAATGTTGACAATATATCCATCGCACCCTGTATGTAGATTCGGAATGGATCAATAAGTTCGTAACCTGACAGTAAATTTTCTTGTGAAATTTTCACTTTTTCGTTCTGTGTAATAAGCTTTTATCAATGAATTGAGTGAAGTGGGAAAGAAAAAGACTTTGATGAAAAATATTTGTTTTCATAAAATATTTGTTTCATAAAATATTTTAATTGTAATCAGGTTGCAGACATACAGGGTGACCCCCCCTAAAAAAAACGGGAATTTTTGAAGTGCGTATTGCCAGACATGAGCAAGTGGCAACACTGCGAGACAGTGACCTTGAGCAAGCAAATATTTTGCCATTTAGAATTCAAGATGAAATTCACAGTATTCCAGCTGAGATTTTGCAGCAGTCAATGAGGAATCTCAACAGCAGATTTCAAGAATGCATTCGTACAGTAGGACGCCATCTACAGGACGTAATTTAAAAAAAAAATGAAAATTCCATCATTGTTTCTTAAATGGCATGTTTTAAGTTTTCAATTACCATGAATAAAATATTTTTCTTGCGTCACTCTTGGTTTTATTGGATTGTTAAAAAGTTCCCGTTTTTTGGGGTCACCCTGTATATATACACTACCGTATATGACGATTCCGTTTCTTCTTATACAGGAGTGCAATTTAGCCTCTTTGAAAGGAAAGGTTCAAAGAGAGACTTTTATAGCGTGTACTATGCTGGTTAGCAGCCATTTGTTTTATTCAAAACTTACGTCTAAGTAATGTCTTCAGGATTTCAATTTCTTCTTCGCATTCTTATAAACATTGTATGATGGGTCATTTGGAAATGTAGCGATGGGGATACAGCGCAAGTGTCCATTTATATTTATTTCCTGTAGGTACTGATACAGGTCGGCACTGGCTCGCATCGGAATCGTCATCCTTTCTCTCTACCCTCTTCCTCCCTCCTGGGGTGGGGCGGTGGCGGACATAGCCGTGAATCAAAGAAACTTTGACGAGGCCATTCGCGTGAATTTGATTTTGGCGGACAACTCTGTGCGACGGAGAAACCAACTCACTTGGCCCAGAAGCGCCTTTCATGCGGCTTAAAGGGGATTGAGACGGGCGAGATCTGGCAAACCTGGTTGCATCAGACGCTGTCGGATGCTTGTTCTGTCAAAGTCCGCCTTGATTACGCGAGCCCGACAAGCGCTGCCTTCTTCCCCCGTTTTTGACCGGTGAGATCGTGTAGATCTTTGCCTATTCCGCCGTTGAAGTCTTCGGGGTTTGGTCGCGTTCAGTCTAGCACTTCCTCTTCGACCTGAAGCCGATCACTCTGTCTCACTCCCCTACGCACACACACCACTCAGAATTAAAATGTTCTGTTAAAATGATTCACGAAATCATCGCGGACATGCGCATTCACATTGACGCAAATAACATACTGGTTTTGAGGTATGATTGGCAGATTAGTTTCGCAAGACATTGCCAGGAACGCCGTTTGTGCCAATGTCGGCTCAGTCGAATAAATGGCCACATAATCGCTTCGACTTTTTAGTTGTGTGTGTAAAAGAAAGAACGCGTTTTATATTATTCAATATTTGATGAAAATCAGAGGTAATATGAGTTTAAATCTTTTTTTCTACGTTTTTTTCTTTTTCGTCACTTCTTGTTCTCTCTTCTTATATAGAGCGATTTTCCAAGCGTAGCTTAGACGTGGCATAAGGCCGAAAGTAGTGGGGGCACCCAGTGAGGATCGAACTCACTACTCAGTCGTAATTGTTCTAGCGAGACAAGCTTGCTAACCATTACATCGCCTCGAGGTGCCCCTCTCTTCTTATATATACAGGATGGTAGGGCGCCTCGAGGTGGTGTAATGGTTAGCAAGCTTGTCTCGCTAGAACAATTACGACTAAGTAGTGAGTTCAATTCTCACTGGGAGCCCCTTACTTTCGGCCTTGTGCCACATCCAGTCTACGCTTGGAAAATCACTATATACAGGATGGCAATAAAGTTATTAACCAGTTACACTAACAATTAAGTAAAGCTATTAATCAACAGTCCAGAAATTTATTATTAAAATGTTTCTGGTATTAATAACAATAAAATGCTATACTAAAGAATAGAAAATTAATTAATAATATAGTAAATAATTTTAAATTAATTAATAATATAGTAAATTAATTAATAATATTAAATTAATAAAATGCTATGGTAAACAATAGTAAATTAATTACTAATACTGTTTGAACTGCAAGCCACCTGCTTCAATGCTTTGCTTTTTTATTATAAGTACCTGTGTAGGTACTTTATTGTAGGTACTTTTTTTATTATAAGTACCTGTGTAGGTACTTTATTGTAGGTACTTTTTTATTATAAGTACCTGTGTAGGTACTTTATTGCCACCCTGTATATACAGTGGGGGAAAACAAATATTTGTACACATACAAATTTCTAATTTATTGTATTTCCAACTAATGAATAAACATACTTTTCATATAATTAACTGTACCCAGATGCATAACTAAATATGCAAAGAAAACAGAAAAAAATTGATTTAATAGAAATAAATCCAATTTATCCATTTTAATTGGTGAAAAAAGAATTCGTGCAATACAAAAAAGAGTACATAATCTTCATTTTATAATTTGTAGAATAACCATTATTCACCTCTACAGCAA